CGGTCGATTCAACGACTTTGGAATATTATTGTGGGGTTATGTTAAATATAATGTCACATATACAGACAAGGCCGCTTCAATTGACGCAGTGAAGAACAACCAAGAAGCATTTATTCGTGAGATACCGGCCGAAATGTTGGAAAGAGTATACCAACATTGCACTAAGCGGATGGACCATTTGAGGCGCAGTCACGGTCAGCATTTGCATGAAATAATTTTCAAACATTATATTATATGGACCGTACTATCGATTCAAGAAGATTTCATGCAATATTTTTTTTAAACTTTCCTATAGCTATTACAAAAACACTATATTTATTGCGAGAAAAATTTCTGGCCGCGTAATCTCTCATCTTGGCCGTGGCAATTAGCTATCAAGAGCGTACAATTTGGCACTGTTAGACTTTTCGTCAAGTTATGGCCGAATGTGTGACGAAAAGTGGAGGAAGGTTGCCGCAAATGAATCGAAGTTTGCGAAAATTCGCCATGCTTTAGTTTCCCACATGCTATGCCGAAGTTTAAACTTAATAAAATTAATTTTATAAAAAATAATTATATCTTTAATGCATTTTATATATATGCTAATTTTTGACACCGCAAAATGTTTCACTCTCTAAACTCAAATGCGATGATTTTAAACAAACAAAATTGAAATTTAATTATTGATTTTTGTCTTCCTCATACCACTTCACCCAAACACAACAAAACGCAAAGTTTAAAGGAAAGATTTTATTATTCATAACATAATTAAGTACCACTTAATAAAATATGGTTTTTGTATGCCAACTCATTACGCAACTATTGTCCCAACTACACACAACTAATAATAGCTAAACAACACAAGCTTAAGGATAACACAAATGAACAAAATCATATACTTGTGCACGCATAAAAAGACAACATCGATGTAATTAAAAGGATTTAAGCAATTTTCCTCTTAATTACCCACTAAAACTCAGTGTAAAATATTTGCAAATAAACATTTATATCTCTTAACTACGTACATACTTACATATGTAAAGCGTGAATTTAGTTATTAAATGGCAGATGTGGCGTTCGATGGGGTGGAGCAGTGTGAAATTCTGTGTAAAAGGAGTTTAATTAAGATGCAGGTATGTACGAGTATGTATGTATATGTGGAGCATTTCCTCTCAAGCGAATTCGGTTGTGTGGAGAGGGAGAAGGCAGGTGGTTTTTAATGAGCCGAAACATATGGTAGGCATACACGTACATATATATTTGGGCTTACAGACATACTCATGGGCATATCAGTTTAATGATACTTAAAATAATCTAAATAAGTATATGTATAATGCCTTTGTAGATTTCTGTATGTTTATATGTATGCTAATTTTTGGGAATGTGTACAAAATTGCTTTTGTTCAAAGCCTATTTAAAAATATGAGTAAATTATATAAGAGTCAATTGCCTTGTAGGAAACGTTTCTCTCAACTGATATGTTAAGGAGCTCAGACGGTACAAACACTTTCATTGCGAAGGTGAAGCTCGCACCGCGTTCTGCCGAGGAAGAACCAAAAAATTCTAAGTCATCTAATGACAACTACACGATGTTGTTTATATGAATAATAAACACACCGAAATGATTTTGTTTCGTTTTATTGCCAAATGACTAAACTAAATGAAACTTTTCCGGTTGAAACCGCACAAACTCAGAAAATACGTTATTTCGATCCAATTTTACATTTAACATTATCTGCTCACGATTTAACATTAACGACAGCTTCCCGTTGATATTAACAGCAAACTTCAATTTTAACATTTAACATTAACTGTTAATGATTTAACATTAACGACAGCATTCCGTTGATATTAACAGCAAACTTCAATTTTAATATTTAACATTAACTGTTAACGATTTAACATTAATGACATCATTTCGTTGATATTAACAGCAAACTTCAATTTTCACATTTAACATTAACTGTTAACGATTTAACATTAATGACAGCATTTCGTTGATATTAACAGTTCACTTCCATTTTCACATTTAACATTAACTGTTAACGATTTAACATTAATGACAACATTTCGTTGATATTAACAGCAAACTTCAATTTAAACATTTAACATTAACTGTTAACGGTTTAACATTAATGACAACATTTCCTTGTTATTAACAGCAAACTTCAATTTTCACATTTAACATTGTCTGCTCACGATTTAACATTAACGACAGCATTTCTTTTCGGGTAAAATTGTTATACAATTTACTTTGCTAACTGCTTCAAGGACAACATTTCCAAATATTTCACCCGTAACGATTTTTTGATTAACTTTACGTTAGCGTCGTTACGAGGCAGCATTGCTGTAAGAATAAAATTATTTTCCACTCTCATAGCACAGGCTAAAATTTCTCATGGAAACATGGAAAATGAAAACACGAAAAAAATTTGAACAACAATAATTCAACGTGCCGAGACTGTAAAGGAAGTACAAAGTGTGAAATCGGACGTAGAGTTTATACATTGAAAGAAAATAACCAAAGGTATAGACATCGTCCTGCACGCTGAGCAATAAAGCAGGAAAAGGGTAAAATGCAATCGGTTGCTAAATAAATTAATTACACACAAAATGTAAGTGGCTAACAGGCAAGCAACAAGAGGAATACGCAAGAACAGCGCCCAGCGATATGAGCGTAGCTGTAGAATTAATGAAATGAAAGATGTGAGAATGTTGAATTTGTTGAATTATGGAAAATTGTTTAATTAAGTGTGCCAAATAAGAAGTGAAAGAAAGCTTAAAGCAAAATAACAAAAGGTTTTTTTGAGAGTTAAAATAAAAATATATTAAAAAAAATTATTATTGAAAATATTAATACATCGAAACTATAAGAACTTATTTTAAAAAATAAATGAAATTTAGTTAAATTAAAAATATTTAGAATCGAAAATATTTGACATTAATTACACTAATTTATTCCTAACCAGATTGCTATTTCTTTTTAGAATTTTTTAAAATCATTTTTAAAAATTGTTGAAATTTTTTTTTTAGATATGTGTCATCTAAAAAATTGTCAATATATTATTGCTAATGTTTATTATTAATACACAAGTTAGTAACATTGAAATTCATATTAAAATATGTACTTTTTTAAATATTTTTACCTAAAAAGAAATTAAATAAATAAAATAAAATATTAGGTCAAGTAAGAGGCTCGTTCGGGTTTCATCTAAGAGATGACGTTATTCTCCATAGTACTCGTGCTACGTATCATACATACTATACTATACTACACAAAAACGTAGTTATTCGAGCAAAAAGTTTGCCTTTCACAGTTTTTCGATTGATTGACTCAGTACGTCGTGAGCGTTCGTCAAAGATGGACACCAGCAAATAGAAAATTCGCTATAGTTTACAATTTTTCTTCAATCAAAGCGAAAAAGCAGCCAAAGCGGTTTAAAAATTTTATTCAGTTTATGAGCCTGATACCGTAAACGAACGTATAGCACACAAGTGGGTTGCTAGGTTCCGTTCCGGTAATTTCGATGTCAAAGATGCACCACGCGTAGGGAGGCCTGCCGTCGAAAATTGCGATAAAATCCGTCACGTGAGCACTTATTTAATTGCTGAGGAACTAAAGATAAGCCAGAAAATCGTTTGGAACCATTTGCATAACATTGGGTTCAAAAAGAAGCTCAGTGTTTGGGTGCCACACGAACTAACACAAAAAAACATGATGGACCAAATTTCCATCTGCGAATCGCTGCTGAATCGCAAAAAAATCGACCCATTTCTGAAGCGGATCGTGACTGGTGACGAAGAATGGATCACTTACGACAACAGCTAGCACAAATGGTCGTGGTCAAAACTCGGGGAAGCTGCCCAGACGGTGGCCAAGATCGGATTGACGGCCAGGAAAGTATTGCTGTGTGTTTAATGGGGTTGGCAAGGAACCATCTACTACTAGCTGCTTCCCTGTGGCCAAACGCTCAATTCGCCCCTCCACTGCCAACAAATGGAGCGCTTGAAGGCAGCACTAGTCCAGAAGGGGCCATCTTTGATCAACAAATGCCGAATTGTGTTCCAGCAGGACAACACCAGGCCACACAAACTCTTTGGTGACGCGGCAGATGCTCCAGGAGCTCGGTTCTGAGGTCCTAATGCACCCTTATTGTCCGGATGTACCATCTTTTCCTAACCATGGTGAACGCGTTTTCGCACCATTGAGCGTTAAGGCCTGTGAAAACGAGTTTTTTGCAAATAGGGACTCAGCCTTCTACGGGTATAATGAAGTTGGCAAAAAGTTTACGAACAAAACGGCGCATATTTGACTTAAATCAGACAAATGTGCACAAAGTTATCATATTATGAAGAATCAATAAAAAAAACCAAATGAATTTTTTACTTGACCATATATACAAAATAATTAAATAAATAATATAATAATATATATATAATATTCAAAAGTTTATTATTTAGTAAGTGAAGAAATTACAATTGTAATAAAATCGAAAAAAATATCGTCTGAGACAATATCATAAAACTAAAAACCCAAAAACAATTCAACAGAGTAAAGACCTGAAAAAGTAAAATCCATAGATATTTATAATTAACTTAAATTTATATATATATATTATTTAAACATTCTTACTTTCCAGGCGATTGCATAAAAAATTAAATATTTTGCCACGTAAATAAAAAAAAATTCTCCTCACATTTTTATTGAAAAATTGTGATTTTTTTCATTTCCTTAACTGGTAAAACTAATGCAAAAATGTTATATATTATAAAAATAAATAAAAATATATTTTTGTGCCAATTTAAACTAAAAGAAAGTAATAAAAAATAAATTAAAAAATATCAATTAGCATTAATACCAAATTTGGAAAGAAGTTTTTTCATATTGGGTAATTGCAAAAATAATTTAATTAAAATACTTTTTGAAAACAAAAAAAAAAAATATAAAAAACCATTTAAAGTTCTAAAATATTAAAAAAATATATATATATTCAAAAAATACATTTCTTTTCTGCTTACAGACATACCCGTCGTCAGCCTGGAGCTCGGCACCAACTCAATAAACTCAACATTTCGTGAAGGCATCGACGTTTTCTTCGAATGCAATATAAAATCGAATCCGTGGGTGTATAAAGTCAGTTGGCGACACAATGTAAGTGCATATAAGCAAGATAATTTTCTTATTTAAATTTGTAGCTTATAAACTTTACATATACCTTAAATATGCTTAGTACCTATACACGAGTATATGTGTAGGAGTTCAAAAATGTAATAAAATAAAATCCAATATGTCTTGCGGTGGCGCTGATGTTGATGATGATGGATTTTTTTCAATTTCTCTGCCCACTTGTTGACAATTTAATTTATATAACACATATATACGCACGTGTGTATAGTGCATAATAATAGCATATGACATGCCCCAGTGGTTGCACAAGTTGTTGGTTTATATTGTATAATGGCGGGAAAGCAGCACGTGTGAGCGTGTGTGAAGTGAAATTTATAAAATCGAAAGCCAAAAGTGCTCGCTTAAAAACCGCTGGTACACACCCACATATAAGTATATGCAAAGAAAGTCACTGAAGCTTACTGTAGTTGATGAAAAATGTAAATATGTTTGCACAAACATAAAATGCCTGCTCTTGGCAAGTCTATAGGAAGTCTTACGTTTACATTATCACTGCGCTTTTTGTGCTTTTCTCATGCCTTCTCAATTCAATCTGCTTTATGTACATATATTTTTAAAAAACTGGCAAAATGCTCTAAGCATTTTTTCATTTCTTATTTTGCTTATTTATTCATTTTTCATCAGCAAACTGCTGTTGTTGGTTTTCAAACCTAATTGAAAATTATTATTTACATATAAATCAGCCTTAAGCATTTGTAAGTTTCAAAAGGTCTCACGTGTGCCTTTTATTGGAGACTCAAGAACGCAAAGGCATACATACATACTCGCAGTTCACGGCCGTTCTACTTGTGTGCTTTTGTACTCATACACTTACATATAATATTTATGTACATACATAAACTGCATGAATAGCTTCATATGCATACATATACACAGCTCTAAAAGTTCCGTTAACTTCTTTATAAGTTGGCTTATGCTTAGCCAACGGCAAAATATTCTCATTATTTCTTTTAGAATTATATATGTATATGTAATGCATCTATATACATATATCTTTTTTTCCTGCAAAAATATTCAGGAGTGAAAAGGCTCATATATCGATGCCTCCATTATTTTATTTTTTTAAATTTAAGCTCCCTTGGATGGACTCACAACATATTAGACTTTATTTTTGTTTTTCTTTTTTATTTTTTTTTTCAATTGTACGTTGTTAGACAACTCAAGAGTAATGTGCCTTATTCAAAACATTAAAAATAATTTGAATAAAAAAAAGTATTAAAATAATAAAAAATTATTAAAAAAAATATTAAAAGAATAAAAAAAAATATTGCAAAATCCCACTTTTCACTGGGATGCCCTATAATTTCAGTGGGGGTTTTGATGCCTTGATAAATAAAAGCTACATAAAATATTATATATAGAGTTATGTAAAAAGAATTCTTTCAGTTTTACATTAGTTAGCGATTTTCAATCAATAATATTAGGCTTGATCTTAAGTTTATGTTAAGCGTTTATTCCTTCGGCTGTCTAAGTAACTTTTACTTGAAGAAAAATCCCGGCGAGAGAAACCAAGTTTAGCTACTAACGGACCTCTCTATCGGTTACCTCTGAGTGGTACGTTTGCTACTAAAGTTTCTAGTTACGGCCACCTTATTCTACATAAAGATGTGTTATAATATCTGACTAGCCGAAAATAATTTTCTGAAGTAACTCGAAAACTACGAGCCTTACCACACGGAGTGACTTTCTTTTCACCTCGCGACTTTCTCACTAACTCATTACGTCCGTTATGTTACTTTTAAAAATGGTTGTAGACGAAATGAAACTAATACCACACGAACGATATTATTGCCAAAATAATCGAACCAAGAAATTATAATATCCAAATAAGGACGTACTCATGATGTGATTGTCTGCTGACAAAGAAAATGCAAACCCGATTTTAGTGGGTTGTCGGAGTTAGCCTGTCTTCTAAAGGTCTTCTTGGGGTTGCCAACCATTTCGACTTACCAGAACACACTCTCTCTGCCATTCTGCTATGTAATTAAGTGTTCAATTCCGGTCTATCACTATTTTGTCTTAACAGTCAGCTGGTAGCACCAATACTATGAATGGAAAGTTGTATAGATCGTTAATAACCAATTTGTTATGGCCACAATTGAAAGAAGTTGATCTTAAGAACATCTGGTTCCAACAAAACGGGGATACGTGTCACACAGTACTTATAACAACCGATTTATTGTGAGAAAAGTTTGGAGATTCGATTATTTAAAGAAGTTGTGCCATTGAATGGCCTCCAAAAAGTTGTGATTTAACACCATTAGACTATTTCCTGTAAATCCAATTTGTCACTTAGTTTTTAGACTCCTGAGTTGCAAGTGCCTTACCTTTTGGTGCGTTATTTCCACGATAAGGGTGTATTTAGGTCCTCACGAGCTAATCTACACATTCGCTACCAGCACACTCAACTTGCTCTTTGCCGAAATCTCGAACCGCTTTGCTCTATAAAACTCCACTCCTTTACCGATAACTTCAGCTCTCTGAAAACCATCAAATAAATTTCAAAATAATTAAGATGAAAATTTTTATCGACACCCGAAATCAAATTAATTGTAATAAACCAAATTTAATGAAAAGAATTATAAAATCAGAATAGAAATAACCAACCTGATACAAAAGAAAGAAATTTAAAAATTAAGAAATCAGAAAACAGTAACGATTAAGTAATTTAACTCAATTAAATACAAAAATAAAGTAAAAATATTCAAACACCAAAAAAAAAAACTAGGATAAGAACACACACTTATTTTTCCTTAAAAATTATTTCAAGGTATTTTAGTTGAAATAAATATCAAAAAATAATAAAATAAAAACTTAAACTCGAAATATGTTTAGTTAAAATGTCTAAAAAATAAAATACAATTTTGAGAACTAATTACTATTTCAAAAACATGCTTCCACAAACGAAAAAAGAAATTCGTAACCATAAGAATATGTTCTGTGCGATCTGGCAGATTTTATCAGCAAACAGTCCGGCGGCGAACTGTGCAAGCAATTATCATAATGCGGCTAACCTGTTCTTGAATAAATTGAAGTTTCTGTGTAATGCACACAGACATCATCTCTCCTGATGAAAATAGAAAGTGATCTTGCATGATCTTAGGTTGTCACTTTTTTTGGTGCCACGTTCGAAACAAAGTTAAACTGAATGGCTTTTTTTAAAGCTCATATTCCAAACTTAATAACGTGATCCTACTATCCATAATCACATATCTCTTTGTGTCATGAAAAGATTTGGTTACGTGCCCTACATAATATTCAGCTACCAGTAGTATATAAATAGTATTTGCCCTTGGTACGGCTCGCTTCCAATATATAGCTTGTATCTACATCACAGATAAACAACTATTTGAATCTCATACTTTGCGGGCTTATTTTGTATATATATATATATATATATATTGTAGTCTTTCGTCAATACTTAAACTGCTAGGCTTACAATTATTACACTTTAAAATAAATGCATTCCAAATATCACGAAATTGAATATAACGATAATTTTGACGTCTCTCAATCCGAGTAGTTTTATCGTTAAATCGTAAGCAGTCCAAAAGATCTCAAAACTATGTTGACTCATCCAATCAAATCCAGTTATTTGAATTCAAACATACATATATATAATGGTTATCTTCCTCTTTTAATCCTGTAAATGCTGACAATCCGAAAATTGTTGTTTTGGAAACTATGGTTGTGTCAGATGTATAATTTCGACATTTGTGTGAGTCAAATTTTGGTTTCTGTTTTCATTGTTTAAGAAACACTTGTACACCGGATGACGGTTTTGCTTCTAAGACTCACACTTCGTGGGTTTATTGAAAGGCGTCGCAGTCTTGCAGGCCATAGAGTAAGTTCATTTAGCTACTTTGCAGATTCTAACCTTTGGGAATATTTCGCTCGATTTTTTAAACTGATTTAATTTCGTCTAACCACTTACACTCATTTCTCGATTTTGCTTATCGTATTTTTCCACCTCACATGGATGAAGTGCGCAAATGTTTGGGCTATCACGCCTTTCGCTACAAGAACTAGATCTTGCTCTTTCAGGGGGTGAAGGTATTTCACTGTCAGAACTCTCATCATCGTTAGGAAGGTAATTCGAACCACTTTCTAATCAATTGCCTCGTATTTGGTGCCATTCTCCCTTTAACAAAGCTTTAATTTGATTTAAATTTAATTTTTTCGAGAATACGCTTGGCGTTGAAATTTTTTTTTTGGCTGAGAGTTCGTCAACTATAAACCGAAACAGTAATCATTCTTATACAAATAATAAATATGATGCTAGCTAATAAGAACATTAGGATTCTTAATCTGTACTAAATAAATTAAGCTAAGATTGAATAATAAAATATTATATGCTTTGTACCTCATTCTCAACTTTTTATGCAATATTTTAAAAATTTCATTAAATTTATTTACTTAAATATAATAAAAAAAAATATTTTTCTTTCAGGGCAACATACTCGAAAACAATCTCGCCGAGGGAATTATAGTGGCCAACCAAAGTTTAGTGCTGCAAAACGTCAGTCGCGCACGCGCTGGCATTTACACGTGCGTGGGCAGTAATCGAGAAGGTGATGGTGAGAGTAATCCGGTGCATTTGGATATTAGATGTAAGTAAAATGCACAATGAAAGTCTGAAATACATATATATAGTTGAAAATATTAGAAAAAAATATAATTAATTTAAGAACAAAAAAAAATTTAAAATTATAGTTGATAAATATGGTATAAATAAATGTGGTAAAATATAAATCTGATATCATCAATTTGAAAATGTATTCAATAAAGTTTGAGGTTCGTTTTTTTAGATATTTAATTTATAGCAATACATAAAATATTAAATTAAAATTTTTAAAGACTAAGTATATATATTATTTATTTTTGGGAATATGTGAAAAAGTTACAACAACAGTTTTGGGCGGTAGAATTTATATCTGCTATTTCGGAAATCACCACGTTTCCTCATCAGACTTCATTTTTATTATAAAATAGGTGCTCAATATCTCTAAAGAAAACATGAAAATCAAATTAAATCATGATATTTTTATAAGAAAACAAAGACCTACACTTATCTCAGTACTTATTTGTAGGCAATATTTTATTTCCGTGAGATGCTAGAATCAGCGCGTTATTTTTAAGTTTACTCTGTTGCATGATACATGCACCTCGTCATGGCAGAAAAGGATTTCTTTCATGTCTATTCCTGCGACTTTAGAGTTTGACCTTGAGCTTTATTTGTGAGTATTTCGAAACAGACCTTGATGAAATAGCAAAAAATTTTAAAAGTATTTCATTCATGACTAAAGTTTGCACATTTTTGGTGTTAAGATGGCACACTCCCAACTGCAGCTTTTTTGTGAATATTATTTATGACTCTGGAATGACAGCTACGATTTTGGATCATATGAAGTGAACTGAGATCATCACTTTTGCTGCTGATTTTTGTTGCTTGGTTTCTACGGGTAGGTTTGCTCCTGTTCGGCTTCATGCCTTGGACTGCTGTGTGGTTTCTGGATCATACTTATAGAACCAACATTCTTCACCAGTAATGACTTTACTAAAGTTGCTAGACTGAATTTGTTTGGAACTAATTTTGCAAAATGCATTCGAGCTTTCTTTGGGTCTCATTTAAAATCCTTGGTACCCATCAAACAGAACTTTCGTGTATCCCAATACAGCCATGACATTAAAGCCGAATTCATTGACAATCATTTCTTGTGTCAATCGTGGGTCTTCGTCAATTTTTGTCTTCACTAGGGCTACAGTGATGTTATCAGTGGAAGATTTTGGTCGACCTGCTCGGGACTCGTCCTCTAAGGAATAATATACTGTCTGGAATCTTTGAAACCGCATAAAACTAGTCTATAAAGATGGTGCAATCGTTCCATATGAAACTTGGCATACATCGAGTATTTGTATTGGCTGTAAATTATGGAGAAACCCGTGGAATTCATGTTTGCGTTTTTTGTGCAATTTCGTCTGATCTGCTGTCAGCTATCTTGCGTTTTCTCATCTTCATTTTAGCCCAACGTTCTAAAATTTTAAGGGAAGACAAACAAAGTAATTCTAAAGAATTTGGTATTTTCATATTTAACAAAAACAAATTGAAAGTCCCCAGCTGACCGAATTTTTGTTAATCTGATCTTAAAGCTTTTAAATTCATGAAACTATAAATGAAAACTGTTTCAGATGTCAATTTAAGCAAACGGTTTAAAAAAACACCAGTTTTCCGAGTGAATCAGTACCAGCTCCACTTCCCAGAAAATTCTATCTACGCAGAACATATCCTCCAAATTTTAGGTCTCTACGAACAGTGGTTTAAAATTGCTTGTTTAATACTATTTTTTTTTTTGACCTTTATAGAAGATTTTCTGGACATGCCTTCCATACACCAAGTTGTTGTTGTTGTTGTCGTTGTGACTGTAGTCCACTCAGTTGGAGTTTATTTATCTCTACCTACTTTAATAACCTTACTGTAATCTCAACGCTCATGACCACCATACAATTTACAACAACTGTAAAATATATGAGCATTTGACAAATGTGTGTATGTGTGTAATTTTTTATTGGTTGCGTCGACTTACATATGACTTCTTCTACCCACTGAAGATTGCCTGAGCAATGAGCATAAGTAAACCTCCTGCACTTATGTATGTATATACCTTGGCTTTTTTGTGCCATACTCATATTTTTCCAGCCTACGAGTATTTATTCATCTGTTTGTTTGCCACTCAGGTTTTCTGTAAGCTTTACTTTGGATATGGTGCAAACAAATTGCCTGTCATTTCTTATGCCTGGGCGCAGAGACATTACAAAGAAGTGCAGAGAATGCAGGCGGAGAGCAAAACAAAAATCTCTTGTAGCCAGCAGTCGCCACTAGGTGGGCAAACTATATATATATATGCACACATGTCTACATAAGCCTATGTAGGCTCTTACATACTCATCCGATACTTGCAGTGAACCCAACCGCACATCCTGCTGAGGCTACCACTGCCGCTGCAGTCGTTTTATATCCTGTACCATCTGCCAGGGCAACTGTCAAAGCATTCATCTTACTTTTGCTCAGATTTTCTTGTGACTTATGCGCTGCACAGACACTCACACACACACACACATAGCTTCTTTCAAAATACTTTTTTGTTTACATATTGTACATATCTATATTTCCTGCTTTTAAATTGTGACTATGCTTTTGGTTGACAGCATCGATTGTCGCTTTCTGCTTCGCCTGTGTTGCTTGTTTTGTTTGTTTTGTCTTTGCTCGGTTGATTTTCGGAAATTAAAATTACGAGCAAACCATACCGGTAGAATTTCCATTAGGCCGGACCGCTGCCTATAAAGTTTGCTCCTTTTCTTCATTCTTAAATCGTAAATTACAAATGTCAATGGTCAATGTGGTTCATACATAGATATTTCTTTAACATTCATACCAATGCATACATACATACATATATATGTATATGGTCCTACATCCTTTCACCACATGCCCTGTGGTGGTGCCAGATTAGTACAGGCAAGTGGCGATAAATTGCTTGAGATTTCAATTTGTTGAAATATTCGAAATCGTAATTAAGATGAGTTGAAATATAGCACTGAGATAGCAATTAAGAGAACGAGAGGAAAAGAGAGAGAACACGAGAGAATTAAAAAAGGGCTTTTTTTGTTATTTTTCATCAAGTATTTAAGGTGGAATTATTACAGGTTTTTCAGCTAAGAATGCACAACACTGCTGTTTACTTTCTGTTGTACATTTTCTAACAGATTTTGTTTAGGTAAAGGGAACTTTGAGACCCTTTGCATCATAAATATGTTAAACTAGTACTAAAATCAAATCCCCCGTAGATGATATGGAACAAACATTCCTTTATCTGACTACAAGGTGTGACAATTAAGTAATTAAATAAAAACTGCATATTTTAAAATTATTCTATCCCCCTTCAAAGTTGTCTCCTCAGGCAGCTATACAACGATTCCTGCGCGTTTTCCATGCTTCGTAACATTTCTGAAACACTTCGATGTCCTCAATCGACTCAAAATGTGTTCCTTTGACCACCGATTTTGATCTAGGGAACAAAAAAAGTCACAGGCTGACATAGTCGTGATGAAGGATCCAGTTCCGGGCGGTGGCTGAGCGGACCCTGTCAGCTGGTTTTCCCAATCTTTTGAGTACTTGGCGAAAGTGGACTTTATTTACGGCTTACTCGGGGAAATAGAGCGCGCACACGCTGCGCATTCGTATCAGTCCGCACCTAGACTGGTCTCCCGCTCCGCGCCTCGACTTCTACGCTTTCACGCTCCTCCTCAAACTCTTTTCAATCAATTTTAGTATATGTTTCCGAATTTCAATTCGGTGCAAAATTTTATTGCTTTTCACTTTCGTTACGAGCACCACGAACACACGTTTACTCAACACGACATAGCAGACGAACTAAACAAACTAGAGCAATGGCAAATATAATATACAAGTAGAGCAGAGGATTATGCCCGGAGGAGAGAAGTATGCAAGGTCGCAGGGTTACCAAAATCGCGGCAATATAAGCAGACTCATAACCTTATTGTCACACCTCGTATAAAGAACTTCATGTAACGTTTTTTCGCGTTATTAACATCAAAGCAGAGGGAGCCAATGGCTTACCATGTGCGCAATTCAAATGCGACGGCGATTAACTGAAAATGCTCCTGCCATAGCTCTTGTAAAAAATTTCATCGGATGAATGCATGCGAGACGATTTAAAATTATGGTTGTTTTGTCTAATCCTCAAAAAGAAGGATATCACGAACTGCACAAATTCTCGTGGGTTAAATATCATGGATGAATGGCTCAAGCACTTAGTCAATGAATTGATTGGACCTTATAAGTGTGGCCGTTATGCCTAAATTTAGTAATCCCGCAAAACTTATGCGACTGTCCAACTGACTCTGAGCAACATAAACAGTTTTTTCAGAATTGGTTAGGGCTTGTTTCAACAATTTGTAGCTAAAACAGATTTCAGGAGAAGATAAGACCTCTGCTAGACTTCTTCAATCTATTTCTGGAGAAACTAGTAAGAATAGAGAGTGTACAAGTGCTGGCTTACTCGGATGATATTGACATCATCGGTCTTAACAACCGCCGCGATTTCTGCATTCCCTAGATTGAAAATGAAGCGCATGAGTCTAGGTCTGGTATAGAATGAAAATTACGCAAAATATATATGGTCATCAAACAAATAGTGGATGATTTCGCCTATTTTAGTGCCAGTATTAATACTAGCAACTATGTTGGCCTGGAAATCGAACGCATACTACCGAAACAATTGAGCAGTAAAGCTCTCGACGAGCAAAGACCAAACTCAACAAGTCGCTCATCATTCCCGTCCTGCTATATGGTGCGGAGCCATGGACGATCACAACATCTGATGAGTTGGCGTTGGTATCTACAACTAACGCCAAATTACAAAGAGACGAAACGACTGGCTCGGGTTTAATAACACGGCTGTCATATAGTAAACCATATGTACTTATGGCAGTTAAAAAAAAAAGGAATTGTAACAAACCGTAATAATTGTTAAGAAAGAAAAGGACTAAACTCCATTACATTTTTTTATCTACTAGAATTTTATACAAG